GAGACAGAAACTTGCAGATACCGAAACGGAAATGCAAAGGTTAAAATGGAAGCAAGATGATCAAGAAAACAGGGGAAGAAGAGTCAATATAAATTTCAGGAATATTCCGGAAGGAGTAGAAAAAGAAAGTAACGGGTGTGTTGAATTTATTCGAAACTTCATCGTACACCACATGGGCTTAGACGAGGTGAAAGACATGGCAATTCAGAGAGCACACAGAGACCCGCCATTCTCAGATCCAAAGAGGGGAAAGTTAACACTTAGTAGACCAGTAAAGGTGGCATTTGTGAATGCTGGTGAAGCAAGAAATATCCTGATGGCAGCTCCTCGAAAGCTGAGAAACCACCCTTACAAGGGAAACCATATTTTCGTCACAGACGATGTGAGCAGTACAGTAAGAGATGAACGAAGACGTCTGGTCGAATATAAAAAGAAATTGAAGAAAGACAATCCCGAGAATCCCGAGGTGCTTTATAGCCTGGCGGATACCTGCAACTTTGATGGTAGAAGATGAGACAGGAAAACTAAAACAGGTGACAGTCAAGGACATATGAGGTATTTTGAATGGAATGAACGGTTAGTAAACAAATGCCATATGGCCATGTGGACAGGAGATGAGAACGAGTCGTGTTACATATAATTGTACATTGTTAATAACAGGACATTAGTTCTAAATGATGGGTTAACTATTTCATAAATAATATAAAACAGGGTGGAAGCAGATCGGGTCTGCTTTCCTTATTCCATTCATGGTAAACCATTTTGGTATGCCCTTTTGTGCACTTTATGCTCTGGTTATTTCAATGAGAATATGTTATTTTTGTTGTGTTCTATGTGTTTTGTTTTATTATTTATATGAACAAAAATGGGCAATTGTTTCAAAAAATGAAACCGAAAAGTATAGCAAAAATCAAACTAGAAATGGATCTTAATGTTTTGACATTAAATGTCAGGGGTATGCGTGACTATAAGAAAAGAAAAGAAATTTCAATCTGGCTAAGCAAGAAAAAAGCAAATTTGATATTTCTGCAGGAGACACATAGCACAGCTTCAGACGAAAGCTTTTGGTCTTCACAATTTAAAGGGAAATGTTGGTATGCACATGGAACGAATTCGAGTAAAGAAGTGATGGTAATTGTAAAAAAACCTAAATTTGTCCCTGAAAAAAATTAATATCGACCCTGAAGGAAGGTATGTTGTGCTCCAGGGGAAAATTGATGATATGCCATATACTATTTTAAATACTTATGCTCCAAATAGGGAAAATGAGCATGTAGAGTTTTTATCACAAATTGAACAGGTGCTGCTGGACAATCCCTTTGGTCTGGAGAACGAGATTATATGGGGAGGGGATTTTAATTATGCTATGAATACTGTAATAGACAGAAGTGGAGGGAACCACAAAACATGGAAAAAGTAAAAAAATAAAATCAATGAAATCATTGACCAGTTCAACATCGTGGACATTTGGCGTTTACTCAACCCTGAAGTAAAAAGATTTACATGGCGTAGGAGTAGACCAACAATTTTACAGAGTAGATTGGATTATATTTTTGTCACTAATGGTCTCCAAAATAGTGTTAGCAAAGTCGAAATTATCCTGGGGATACAATCAGATCACTCAGCTGTCCAACTACTACTGAAGTTTTATCAGGATAAACGGGGTCCATCTCACTGGAAATTTAATGCCAGCCTTGTTTATGACAAAGTATATGTGGCAGCATTGTCAGAAAAAATTAAGGAATGGGAAAAGGAGTCGGAGAGGAAAAAAAGGGGGTTGGTATGGGACTACATTAAATTTAAAATAAGGGAATTTACTATTAAGTACTCTAAAGGTAAGGCAAGGGATCGCAGGGAGAAAATTAAAGAATATGAAACAAAAGTGAAACATCTAGAAGTGTTATGCGCTGAGGAACCAAACAATATTAATATGGATAAATTAGAGAAAAGTAGACAAGAACTAGAGAAAGAATATGATTTCATAACAGAGGGACAAATTATAAGATCGAGAGCAAATTGGTTTGAAAAGGGAGAAAAAACAATAAGTATTTTCTTGGTCTGTTGAAATCAACGAAAAGCAGATCCTGTGTTAAAAAGCTTAAAAAAAATAACAAATACATCTCGAAATAAAATCATTTTATACAAATCTGTATAAAGCAGCAAATACAAATGACAAATTTTTGGAAAAATTCCTGAATGACAATGTCACTAAACTGGAGGAAAATTCAAAAAAAATATGCG